TCTTTAAATATTGAAATATTATTATTTGAACTCTTCTTCATCTCTCTGATAAACTCAAAATAATCTGAAGAAACATCAGATTCTTCTCTCTGTGGTTTTCCAAAAAGACATTCACATTTATAACAAAACTTTGATGTTTCAGACACTTTATCTTTGAAGCTCTTGTGGACCTCATAAAATGCTGTAGTGGGCCAAATTTGGCCTGCAGGCCTTGATTTTGACATGAGTTTTAGAGGAACATTATATGACAATAACAAAAGGAACAATTCACATTATTGAAGATCTGTTGTGGAGGATCCTCAGCTACTACCACACCAGCTTTTAACCTGGTATCTGTATAAATGACTGAGTTAAAGTCGATCAGCTGCAACATAAATTCACTTTTTATATAAAAGTTTTTCATTTAGTTCATCCACGGAGGATAATAAACAAATAAAACGACAGTTTTTCCTCCATAGACGAGCACGACAAGCAGTTTAACCTTTAGTTTGTGTGTAATCTGAGGAAAGTGTTTTGTTTCCCTGCAGGTTTGGGGCTCGGGTGGATCATGGACTGTTTGTCCCGGTTCTGCCTCGGGGGGTCGGGGGGTCGTGTTTACCTCAAAACAGAAAACAACACGGTTCTGATGCTCGCGCACGGCACTGCTGTGTGAGCTGTGAACACACACACACACACACACACACACACACACACCTGCTGTTTAAAGGTAAATCAAACAAACAAATATTTCAAAATAAATCTTTATTATTCTCATTTTTTGTGATTTTAAGTATATTTTACCAGTTAAATCAACTCTAAGACAGTAAGATTATTATTTTTCTGAGGTGGGGGGTGTCATGTAATTGCTCTCACAGTGTAGTTTTTTTTTGTCTGTTAGCAAAATATCTCATGAACCTGTGGACGGACTTCAACAAAAGCCTCTGAATTTCATCGGTGGATGTTCATCTGCAACTCATTACTGTTTAAAGTCGTCCAGATTAAAGATGGCCGCCAMAGCTAGTCGAACTTAAAAAAACAAAAAACATTTATAACTCTGCTTGTTTTACAGACAAAGAGCTAAAATTTGGTGAGGCAGTAGCCGAAAGTCATTCCAAACTTCCACTATGAGATCTGCAACTTAAGCAGTTTTTTTCCCAAATCTATCATATTAACTGTCGCTGTGGACCAAGTTTTGTCTGTTAGCAAAATATCTCACAAATCATTGGATGGATTTTGATGAAACTCTCAGGATTTCAACCCCAGATGTTCGTCTACAGCTGATTAATATTTGAGGTTAATCGGATTCAAACGTAGCAAACACGAACATGTTTTAACTCAGTCTGTTTTGCAGGTAATGAGCTAAAATGTGGCGTGGTAGTAGCTGAGGGTCATTAAAAAGTGATGGGTGAAATCTGGGCCTTTAGTCTGAACCTGTTGAAAAATCTGAGGTGGACTTGGATCACCTGACTGACACCGACAGAAGGCCTCAGAGGGTTCTGGTCTCTGGGTCGTGTTGGTGTGTGTGAACCAAAGGGAGGGGAGGCAGCCCCCCCAGTGCAGGTGCAATCCGGGGCCATCCGCGACGCTCTGTCAGCTTCGCCCCGGGYCTGCAGAGGGTTCAGCCGGGGGCGGGGTGGGGTCTCTTCACCCTGCTGGCCCTCTGCTGGTAATTTGGAGCGCGGCCCCGCTCCGGAGCTGCAGCCGGGGCAGCGGGGCGGTGAAGCAGCAGCCCACGCTCAGGRCGCTCAGTGGGGAACTGGGGGCTGAACTCAGGATGGCCGATCTGCTTCCAGCTCTTCATCCCTCTTAATTGTTCTCCCTCCTCCTCCTCCTCCTCCCGGTCCGGTTCTGAAACACGTCCTGGGATCGGCTTCATCAGCTCCTTTGTTAAAAACACATTCCTGCAGAAAGAGTTCACAGATTTATGAACAAACGGAGTCGTTCCTGTTGCAGGAGTGAAGGAATGGACGACTCTCAGCTACTACCACACCAAACTTTACTCATCTAAAGTAGCTGGTTTTGTTGGATCAGTTACAGATTACTGAGTCAAGATATTTTACTAACAGAGACACAAWCAGGTTTTCCTGTTTATTTTGTACTTTTTGTTTTAGCTCTTTCAACCAGTTCTGTAAGAAAATATTCAGCTCATTTGGGAACAGGCGGCTGAGAGTTTTAGTTTTTACAACTTTTCATTTAAAAATCACCTGTTTGTCTTTTTTAGCTACTTTTACCTGTTATTCTTAGCGTTAAAGCTTAGCTAGCCTTCTGCTACTTATAGATAGCACTCTGCTATTTTCAGCTTCTCGCTAGCAATTTGTTACTTACAGCTATATTGAGACTTTGTTAGCATTTTGTTACATTTAGCTAGCATTTTGCTACTTGTTCATTGTCAACATTTTTGGCTTCTAGCTAGCCGTTTTATGTAACATTTTGCTACATTTCAGTTCTGTCTAGCCTGTTGCTACTTTTAGCTAGTCTTTTTTATCATTAGCTATTATTTTGCTACTTTTAGCTACCATTATGCTTCTGCTATAGCTCCTGTTTTGTACATTTGAGTTAATTTTAGCTCTTGTTCTGCCGTTTTATAGCTTCAGTCAATTTTTGCTACTTTTTTTGTCTTTTAGCTTAAAGGTACCAATCTGCTGCTTTAGCTTCTTTTCCTTGTCTTTTGTATTTTTGCTACTGTTTTCTATGTTTTAGCTTATTTTAGCCCCTGTTTTGCATTTTTTAAACAGGTTTTTTTAATTTTAGCTGAACCATGCTTTAATCACTTTTGGCTACTCTTTTAGTCCTTTTAGCTTCTACTTATCTGCTGCTTTAGCTTCTGTTATGCCTCTTTTATATTTTAGCAACAGTTTAGCAAATTTGACCACATTTTTTATTTCAGCTCAACCAGTTATTGAGACTGTTTTGCACCTATTAGCTTTTAGATACTAATCTGCCGTTTTAGCTTGTTCTGCTGTTTTCAGTTCTGAGATGGTTTTAGCTCATGTTAGCTTCTGTTATTTGTCAACAGGTTTTTTTTAGCTGTTTTAGCTCAGCTCTCATCTTTCAGAAGTTCTTTTTTAGCTGATGTTTATTTAATTTAGATTGATCATTTGTTTCTGTATTTTAGCTCTTCTGAATCTGTCTGTTTGTAAATAATCCCAGCCGAAGGTTTCACCTGCAGCTTGTGTTAGTCGGTGTGAGGTCTCTATCAGCCGAAGCGGCGAGCCGAGTGATGGAAGGTAATAAAGAGCTGTATAATGGAGCAGGGAGACGATGTAATTACAGTCARGGACGTCTTTTAAAGGCTTGTTTGTAATGATTCATGGTTGCACAAATGCAATTTTCTTGTCACTCCCCTCTCCTCCCTCTGCTGCCTGCCTGGATCTGCAGGCTTGGTCTTCTTCTTCGGCCCTCCTCTTCCTCGGCCCTCCTCTTCCTCGGCCTCAGGTCTCAAACCCACCGGATTTCCAGAACCTGAGAAACAGAAGATCCATCTGACCCACTCGGTTTTACCGAATAAAAACTAATTTTAACAAAGAAGTTTTAAAAACACGAATAAAACAAAAACTCATTCGTACCTGAAGTTCTGCAGAAACTGTTAACGATTCATTATTTAAAMCAGCATCTGGACCAGAACCTGGAMCTGGACCAGGACTGAAGACTGTCTTAAAAGAAGATGAATCTGAAAAATTGTCTAAAAACTGTGGAATAATTTCACAATAAAGTACTGAAGGAAAGTCTTTGAATCTCCATCATCTCCAGTTCATAATCTGATCAAATCAATAGATTATTCTAATCTGATCAACAGATTATTAAAATCAAATGAATATATTATTATAACCAAATCAACAGATTATTAAAATCAAATCAACAGATTATTAAAATCAAATCAACAGATTATTAAAATCAAATCAACAGATTATTATAATCAAATCAACAGATTATTATAAACAAATCAACAGATTATTATGATCTCAACAGATTATTAAAATCAAATCAACAGATTATTTTAATTTCATCAACATATTATAATCAAATCAACAGATTATTATAATCTCATCAACATATTATTAAAATCAAATCAACAGATTATTAAAATCAAATCAACAGATTATTAAAATCAAATCAACAGATTATTAAAATCAAATCAACAGATTATTAAAATCAAATCAACTGATTATTATAATCCCATCAACATATTATTATAATCAAATCAACTGATTATTTTAATCTCATCAACATATGATCAAATCAACAGATTATTATAATCAAATCAACAGATTATTATAATCAAATCAACAAATTATTATAATCAAATCAACAAATTATTAAAATCAAATCAACAGATTATTAAAATCAAATCAACAGATTATTAAAATCTCATAATCACATCAACATATTGTTTTAATCAAATCAACTGATAATTATAATCAAATCAACTGATAATTATAATCAAATCAACTGATAATTATAATCAAATCAACTGATAATTATAATCAAATCAACTGATTATTATAATCAAATCAACTGATTATTATAATCA